AACTCGATGAACCAGTTCATCAAATCGGACTGAACCATCTGAAACAGTTCCTGGCTTGAGCAACACCAATCTACAGGTTAACCAAAACTTGAAATGAACCAAATTACCGATGTATATGATCAATTGGGGGATCTCGTCAGAGAGAACAATCTACTTCAAGTGTATTCTATGAGTTCAATGCGCTCTAAGGGAGCTTCTTTGTGTTGGTGGAACAGCGCTACAGCAGTGGTCGTTTTTCTGTGTCGAATGGGTTGCACACATCAGGCTGCACTACCCCATTTCTGTTGCAGGTGGCCATCTCCCCTGTGCGCTTCAGCACGTTAAAAGAGCTTGTTTCCCTAAAAGAATATTTGAGCTAAATCTGCCTCTATCTAGTTCTCTTCCTGGTAGAAGTCATGGGAGGATTACATCAGGCAGTATCTCAGGCGGTCTGAGGATCACAATGATAGCTACCCCTCCAAGGAACCAATCTCCCAAGGTCCCTCAATCCTCTAGCACTCCGCAAATAGTCAAGCTGCCCAAGGAACGTGCTGGAACCTCTAAAACGAGTGTACCAGCCGTATCCTTTGGGGCTCCTCACGACGACTGGATGTTAATCACTGCATCGGACGGTGAGCTTGAGCTTTCTGGAGAGGAAGATTCAGCTGTGCTGCTGCTCTCTGGGATGGTAGCAATGCCTGAATTGGATCCAGAAATGATGGCTATGCTTTCCCGGCCCGCCGAAAGAGTAGGGCTCAAATGGAGACGTGGCACTCACCGGAAGCAGATCACACCGACCTGCCACCAAACCTTTAGCCTGTGGTCAGACCTTACTTTTCTTCGGGCAGGAGTGCCCCTAGAGCAGGTCTCCAGGCATGATGTGGTACACACGGATGCCTCCACCACCGGCTGGGGGCCCACGTAAAACGGGCATGCAGTGTTAGTGGTTCAAACGAGCCCCCAACTACATTGGCACATCAACTGCCTCGAGTTGCTAGCAGTACGCCTTTGCCTCCCATCACATGTCGCAACTCACCCGCCATCTCCTCCTTTGGAGTCAAAAGCATCTGAGGTCACTTTGTGCTGTTCACATTCCTGGTCTGCTCAAACGTGCAGCCAATGAGCTGTCACAAGCTGCGCTCCCGGGAGAATAGAGACTCCATCCCCAGATGGTCCAGCTCATTTGGAGATGTTTCAGAGAGGCTTAGGCAGACCTGTTTGCCTCTCCAGAAACCTCTCACTGCCAGCTGTTTTCCTCCCTGACAGAGGGAACACTAGGCACTGACAAGCTGGCACACAGCTGGCCGTGGGCCCAGCGCAAGTATGCGTTTCCCCCAGCCTTCTTGTACAGACACATCAAGAGGGTTGGGGACCTGCACTGCATTTTCGGTCAATGAATAATGCCTAGAGTTTGGGCTGGCTGACTCCCAGGTAACCCTGAGGCCCCGGCCCGGCTATGTTCCCAAGGTTCCCACTACTCCCTTCAGTGATCAGCTAGTAAAACAGCAAGCGCTGCCCCCGGAGGAGGCAGACTCATCCCTAGCTTTTCTCTCTCCTCTCCGAGCCTTGAGATGGTACGTGGACCGGACACAAAGCTTAAAGCCTCAGATCAGCTCTTTGTCTGTTACGGAGGTGGCAGAGGGGAATACCGTCTCCAAGCAGAGGATGGCCCACTGGATAGTCTTATCAGGCACAGGGTGTGCCCTGCCCACTCAAGTTGCGAGCTCCCTCTACTAGAAGTGTTGCATCCTCCTGGGCGCTGGCTCGTGGCGCCTCGCTAACAGACATCTGTAGAGCTGCTGGCTGGGTGACCCCCAACACGTTCGCAATGCAAGGGTGTCTTTTCAGATTTATCCACTCTGGGACTCAGTTTAAAAAAAATAACGGTTTCAAGCTCCCAAACGCCAGATCCGTCTGGATGAAACGCAGATAGCATACAAAATCTTTACATATACAGCTAAACGTGTCTCCGTGTGGACGGGGCCTTAGTTATGTCTTTGTCATTTGACCTAGTTTTCTCTCTGTGTTTAATTAGTTATTCAGTTCACCTGTGTTCCATTAATTAAGTCATTAGTCCCTTGCTTGCTTTTATTCCTGTTCTCTCTGTTCTGGGGTGTAAGCACGGTTAACTTACCATCTGCTAAATCCTGAACTCTCGGTTGATTAACCCCAAACCTTGCTTACTCAAGGTATGTGGTTCCAAAAACGCATCCAGGAGTAGGTTCACTCAATCCAGAGTATGTTCTTGGTTAAGACTCAAGACATTCTCAACAGAGCGACGAGTCACTATGGAAACGAACGCTAATGCCGAGTTCACACTGCACGATTTTAGCCCGATTTTTCACTCGCCGACAGGTTTTCGTTTTGCGAAATCGCAGACAAATGCCCGAAATCGGAGGCAAATCGGTGATCGTTCACGCGAGTGACAATCACGCAGTGTGAATTATCAAAGACGCGATCTGAGCGAATCGCCGGCATGCTAAATATCTGGAGCTGTCGGCGATTCACAGTCACGCTGTGTGCAATGATTTCTGACAGAAAACTACATCGGCGATGACCCACAGCCAATGAGAGACCAAGATACAGGGCAGAGGGAAGTTCGGGGAGGAGTTATAGACAAGAATATCAGTGTTTTAATAGATATGAACAATTATATCATACAAAAACAAGCACAGACATTTGCTTGCCCAGCCACAACATCAGCATAACAGTTACTGCACAATTATTTACCTCCAACTCTCTTTGCAGAACACCCAATCCCTGTTCCCTGCATCTCCCTCCTGCATAATCTGTTTTTCTTTTTCTCCTTGTAGCTGGAAATCAACTCACAGACCATTTTCGGGCTATATATATTTTTTTTAAATAATTGCGGTCTTGCTCGAGAACTCCGGTCTGACGCGCGGGTTCTCGCGTTATTTTCTTATCACTTCTCACGTGTGTTTTGTTGTGAAACGTAGTTTGCGGAGCAGACAGAGCTGTCTGCGATTCTTCTTATTGTGAAGTCATGCAGTGTGAAACCCGCTGTCGCCGATCTGGAGCTGTCGGCGATTCACAGTCACGCTGTGTGCAATGATTTCTGACAGAAAACTACATCGGCGATGACCCACAGCCAATGAGAGACCAAGATACAGGGCAGAGGGAAGTTCGGGGAGGAGTTATAGACAAGAATATCAGTGTTTTAATAGATATGAACAATTATATCATACAGAAACAAGCACAGACATTTGCTTGACCAGCCACAACATCAGCATAACAGTTACTGCACAATTATTTACCTCCAACTCTCTTTGCAGAACACCCAATCCCTGTTCCCTGCATCTCCCTCCTGCATAATCTGTTTTTCTTTTTCTCCTTGTAGCTGGAAATCAACTCACAGACCATTTTCGGGCTATATATATTTTTTTTAAATAATTGCGGTCTTGCTCGAGAACTCCGGTCTGACGCGCGGGTTCTCGCGTTATTTTCTTATCACTTCTCACGTGTGTTTTGTTGTGAAACGTAGTTTGCGGAGCAGACAGAGCTGTCTGCGATTCTTCTTATTGTGAAGTCATGCAGTGTGAAACCCGCTGTCGCCGATCCATCGTGCAGTGTGAACACAGCAGCGACTGAATGCTACTCCAGATAGTCACGCAGTGTGAACACAACGGCGATCCGACGAGTTTGAAAACCGTGCAGTGTGAACTCGGCATAAGAAAAAGCGTGCCATGCAGTTTCTTTCTTCTTTTGTTCAATGGTCATTTACATGCTTAGTGCAAGTCACCACATAATTGATGGTTGTGCAATCATTTTTATACTTTTTCCGTTTAGTCTTTAATCCTTGAGAATATGAATTATATTGTTTGTTTGATGCAAATTATATATTAAGTCATATCAGATATGTATTTTGATTTAGAATTTAGACATTATAGAAAATGCCGATCCATGTGAGATGATAATATAAAATGTAATAAATATAATAAATTAAACATTACCTTGTCATAGTGTTTTATAATTTAAACATAACTGTTATATATATGCCAAAAAAATAAATATTATATTACCTTATTTATTACTTATATTAGCGCTTCTTCATTAACATATCAATATCATACATATAAAAAATAGGCTATTGTCACAGGTACTGTGCTCTAAGGAGACAGGCTCACGCCGCAGGAGTAATCCAGCACACAATCTTTAATTCCAACTTCAAATCAGGAGAATAACCAGGAGACAGCTAAATCACAGACATCAAAGAGCAAACTAAACATGACGGTGAACGGACCCAGACTAAGGGAGAACTGAGGATTTATAAGCAAAACCCAAACAAAGGGAACTAATTAGATGATTAATACAACACAGGTGGAAACTAATGAATGATGATTAACTAAATGAGAACAGGAACTGAACCAAATAAGGGCAGACAGGAACTAAACAGAAACCAAAACGTGACAGCTATATTGTAATTTTATATAATGTTGTGCGCTATCTGTCACTGCCCACTGAAGGCTCGTCAGTAGATCACACGTGCGCTGATAGCGCTGAAGTGAACTAACCCTGGAACAGAAGCTGCTCTGAAGCATGTTATCTTCAGAGAGCAAGTTGCTATGGTTACTTACATACACTGAAAGTAACCTCCGATTTTGGAACCGAAAGCTGAGGTTATCCGCTCACTTATCCTCCAACATACCCGGGTATGTCACATAACCTGCTTTCTGGAATACCCCCCTGCTCAGTCAGTGCCAGTTATTGTTTGTGTCTACGTTTTGTGCTACTTTGGTTCTAGTGATTCTCTTGTGTTCCTTGTGGATTACTTATTAAAAGACCATTGTGGATTATTTCTTCGTTGTCGTGCACTCATTTATAAGCATGAGCATGACAATAAATGTGAAAAGGCCCATTGCACACTCTTTCTAATTTGTGTCTGTGTTGAAGATTCATGCGAATAAACCATTTAACTATGCCATATTAAGCCATGAACCCTTTTTTTTATAAAAACAAAAAAACAAGCTGAATTAGTTTTTTAATTTCTCTTTATTTCTTTTTAAATAGAAAATCAAATGATTTGGACCCAATCAGACATTTCAAAGGTGCACTACAGACTCATGGCAACATCTTTGAGTGGAACCATTAATTGTACATGTAAGTTTGAAGAGTATGTAGGTTGCTAAAATGTAGCTGAGCTGTTCTCGGTGGTTGTTTGAGGAATGCTAAGTGGTTTCTAAGGTGTTCTGAGTGGTTGCTAGGTTGTTGCTTAAGTTAGGCTGCTTAAGTTAGGCTGCTTAAGTTAGGTGCTCGCTAGGCAGTTACTAGAATGATCTGTGTGGTTGATAAGCAGTGGTGGTTAAGGTGCTCTATGTGGCTACAAGAATGTATAGCATGTTAACGGGCTTGCATGTGTTTACATCTGAACGGTCTGATCTTCTTGGAGAGCATCAAGCAGCTTCTTTTACAGTGAGAAACCACTCCTGCTCTCGGCCGTCAGACTTCAGACACGTCCATGGTGTCATTCTCAGAAGGTTTGCCAGTTCCTTCATACCAGCCGCAGGAGCCATCGCTGTGTCTGATGCAGGCAGACTCATGAACCGATTTTCCGTCCTCAAATGGCCATAAGGATGACCAGTCTGTCAGTATACACTCATTTTTGGTGCTGGGTTGACAAAGCTTTTCAATGCAGGTAGAGATCTGTAGAGATCACAGTTTCAGAGAATATAATATAACTCAACACAATATAATATAATGCAATGAAATTTTTTGGTAACACTTCAGTATAGGAATCAATTCTCACTATTAAAGGTGCAGTTGGAGATCTTGGAAAATGCTAACTTTAGCCTGATAGCACTGAAAGCGAACGTCCCACCCTCCCTGCAATCGCCGTCCAAAGCCACACCCCCTGAACGCATATACGCTCACAAACCAGAATTCCGGTGACAACATTACAATAGGCTACATCAGTGGTTCCCAATTCCAGCCCATGTCCCGAAGTGAAGTAAACTTCAACGGATTTCCCCCGCTCAGGGAGTAGCGAACAATAAACACTGTGTAGGGATCATATCGATCAGAACACAGTTCATGCACGTAGCTCACTTCTAACGAGCTGGTTATCTGAATCGGGTGTGTTAACTGAGTGAGACATGCAAAATATGCAGAGCTGGGGGGTGTGAGGTCAGGAATTGGGAACCGCTGGGCTACAGCGAACAATAAACACTGTGTAGGGATCATATCGATCAGAACACAGTTCATGCACGTAGCTCACTTCTAACGAGCTGGTTATCTGAATCGGGTGTGTTAACTGAGTGAGACATGCAAAATATGCAGAGCTGGGGGGTGTGAGGTCAGGAATTGGGAACCGCTGGGCTACATCATGTGTCATTCACCGGTGAGAAAACTTTAAAAGTACTACAATATCAGGAAGGAAGATCGGGTTGTTGATGTCTGTCTGCACAGCGTGTGTGAACGCGCTGATGACGTATCCTGTCTGCGCGAACAGGGTGCGCAGAGGTATGCTAATACATACGTTGACAGGCAGGTAGGAAAACCGAGCGTTTTGATTGGACGAACATTTCTTGGTCCTGCGCCTTCCACAGAATATATAAATACAGATAAATACATTTAGACCACTCAACTTAATGATTGCTATCGGGATGTGAAGAGACTTTCAACCAGCATAACAAAAAAAATTTCTGAAGGCAATCACCTATTGCACCTTTAACTAGTTGCTAATTAGCATGCCTATTATTAACATATTGGCTGTTTATTAGTGCTTATAAAGCACATATTACACATACGTATATTAATACCCACTAATAATAAGCAGCAAATTAAGAGTTTATTGAGGCAAAAGTTGTAGTTAATGGTCTGTTAATAGCGAGAATTGGATCTTAAAATAAAGTGTGACCAATTTTTGTGTAACACTCTAGTTTAGGGACCACTTTGCACTATGAACTTGGCTGTTTATTAGTACTTATAAAGCAGATATTAGTGTCTTATTCTGCATGACCATATTTTAGATCCCTTAATCCAACCCATACCTACACCTAAACCTATGCAAATTAAGAGTTTATTGAGGTAAAAGTCATAGTTAATAGTGAGAATGATCCCCAAACTAAAGTATGACAAATTTTTGTTCATTCAAACCTTCATAAGTAAGAGTATTTTTTTAATTACAGACACGGCTAGATTAATTACTCTCTAAAAACGTTCTTTCAGTTGGATTAGTGATTTTCTAAGTATTATAGAACCTGTTTATTCGGCTTTTGTCCTGTCCTTGTGTGCTATCAAGTCCCTTGATAATATTAATTAATATCAAATCAGTGGAATGACATGATATAACCGAGTGATCATAATGTTTGGATCTCAGATGAAATATATATAGTTTATTACCATGCAGGTACAGCCCATCAGATATCTGTATTTGAGGTTCTGTTTTTGCATTAAGGAGAGTTTGTCCCAGAGCTCAAGATAGTCGCACATTGAAACGAAGAATCCCTCAGGTGTGATGCTTCCTGTGAGATAACAAACATACAGTATCATACATTTGAATATTGTTTTATTTTCCCTGAGCTCCACCTGTACAGTGTTAGCCCGTGAATCCCCCTCTCACCGTGTTTAGGGGCAGATAGAGTTATAGATAAAGTTAGAATATATAAGTTTATCTGAGTCAGGAGATGATCAGAACTGCTGCTCTGTTCCTATGGGCTATCAGGCTACCAGCTAACTTTCAAGATATTTAAATGATTTTCATTACAAAACTAGCTTTTAGACACCATCAGGTGTCTGAAATAACTTGCAATCTAATGGTGATCAACATATGAGTCCGAAATATATTTTTACAGAATTATATGCAAAGCTAAAGGCAACGTATGCTAACCATTGACATAATAAATGCACTACGCTCAGAGACCAGTTGAAGCACATATATGATTGCACTTGTGTATTTATTCAGTTTCAAATTTCTTCTGTCTCTTCCCTGTGTCTTTGTTGATGATGGACTTCTGCATCCACATACAGTATTTAATCAATTACATCATAACTCCGGTTTTCTGTTATTTTCAGCTCAAACCTCCTCAGATTGCATTATTTATTGGTACTGATCATTCTTTCTAAAGAAATATGACGTACACATATGAGAGCTTATCAATATTTTTCTAAATGTGTACACCTTTGGACTTAAAGCTCAAACAAAGTTGTTTTGTGCATTCCTGCGATCAAATAAATGAAAGCAGGTGCGACTGAACAAGTATGTGTTCTCTTTTTATCTGAAATACGTTGATGTTGTACTACAAATGTATAAACTACTGTCACTATAAAAAAAAATTAAAATCATTGGTCAAGTATTGTGCAATTCTGTCATGTTCGTTCTGCAGTATAGCTAGTTTTCCTTGTAGTTTTCATTCCTCTCGCCCTTGCTGGTGAATTGGAGAGTTTGTGTGGTTGTTCTGTGGAGAAACGAGGATTTTGGCCTCGCGGCTTGAGGTAATAAATGCTCTTCTTGGCTACAGGAGAGACATTTTCTGTTCTCAAAGGATTTTTCTTTATTACAATGAATTGTCATTTTCAAAAGTCAAAAATTTGGTAGTTTGTGAAAACATCCCGAATGCTTTTACCTGAAAGCAGATACTGTCCATGGCCCAGTCTGGTCCCACACATTGAAGACATCTCATGCGTATAGACATGCTGAATTTCATTTATTCTGTCAAAACCCTTGAACACCTGCAAAAACAAGATTTTTGCCATTTTTGCAAAGTCGCCATATTACATTTTTATTTGGCTATTTGAACCTCTGTTTATTGTATACTGTATTGATGTATATTATAATTAATCTTTACTCTAAACCTAACCATTTTGGGTCTGCTGATCCATTTTCCTCACCAAAAAGGAAAATTTAATTTAAAATAAATGCCTCTGTGAGCTGATATAGGATGTGCATAGAGAGAAGAATGAGATTGGAAAAAGGCGGATTTGAACTTGGGTCACTTGGGTTATAGTTTATGGCTAGCCAAAAAAGTTTGGTTTGTTTTTTTTTAACAGACTATTGATGTGCTACTAGCCCAGCTGGGTGGCAGAGTTGTTACTCAGTGCAAACAGTCACATATTTTATATTATGCTTATCAGTGAACATTTTTTATCTTTGATCTGGAGTGTCTTTTCATATAGAGATACCCACACTGCCTTTTTCAGTCTATACTCTAGCAGCTAATCGACAAGAACCCCCAAGAGACTGTAACTCTGCCTCCGTTTCAGTGATAGTCTATTTGGATGGAAGGCCAAATAGCAGTAATTTTCCCAGCAGAACATTTATGTGATCATCAAGTACTTTTGCTCACCTCTATCACTTGGATTTCATATTGAATTGTTCCCATGCCAGGTATAATTCCACCGCTGTGTATGATCTTCTCCCCAGTTACCTCGGCTTGTATCACTAATCAGAAACAAGTCAGATGTTATTACTAGTGCGTGACACTGAAAGCAAAGGAATCATTTCGGTGAAATCAGTTTCTTCTGTTAGAAACATGCACAGGCTTTATCATGTATATGCTTAATGGCTTTACTCTCCTTATTTCTTAAGGTCAATAACCATGTCAGAACATTAACATTTGGCAGCAATTTCCATTTTTAAAAACCACATTATGTGCTAAGCATACAAGAGTTCAGAGTATAACTTGCTGTCTTACAGGACTGATTTCAGGATTTTCTTATTAACTCTTATTGACAGAAATGTCTTGGTGCTACCCCAGCATACCTTAGCAATTTGATTACTAAATACATAGTGAACGAAAGCGCTAAATAAAGTCCAGCTTGATGTACCTAATACTTACTGTAGCTGTAAAGACAGGTTGTGAACTCTTATCTTTTATGTGAACGTTATTTTGAAATGCTACTAATAAAAGAAGAAAAAAAACTTTGTGTCCCATTTTCAGTCAAATTCATGTGGTATGTGACACGCAGAAGTCCAGTAGATTCTCAGGACTGTAGCTCAAGGTCATTAAGCCTTTTTAGAATTATATTTTCATGCCATGGATGTCATGATTTGCCTGTGTTTTCTGTTCAGTGACTATTATTTTGAAGTTTATTTCTATCTGCTGTTCAGGGTTTCTTTTCCTTTGTTTGGTTCTTGTTTTGTTGGTTTCTAGGTTTCTGAGTACATTCTCATATTTACTGATTTTGTTCACCTGTGTCTCATTTGTGAGCCTGCAGCACAAAAGCAGTGTTAAGTCGCTGGGGTATATTTGTAGCAATAGCCAAAAATACATTGTATGGGTCAAAATTATAAATTTTTCTTTTAGGCCAAAAACCATTAGGATATTAAGTAAAGATCATGTTCCATGAAGATATTTTGTGAATTTCAAAAAATGTAACCTTATGACTGGTTTTGTGGTCCAGGGCCACACTTAGTTCTTTATTTGACACTGATGTACTTATAGCCTTCAGTTTCAGTTGCTCGTTGTCCATTTTTCTATGTATGAGCTTGTTTGCAATTATCCAGTGGTTCCTTGTGCTCCTAAGTGTTTTGCTTAATAAAGATATCATGCATATATACAGTAGATCCTCGTCTCAACTCTTCCCTGCCCAAAAACAGCCCATGACAAATAAATGGGCCATCAGTATGACATTTTCTGAGGATTCTTTGATTGCTTGGTCTGAATGAACCGCTGAAATCCATCCTATATGAGTTTTGTCAAGTGACGCTGACACAATTTTAAGAAGTGGCTGTCTCGATCCTAGGATCTATTTAACCATGGGTGAGCAGGATAAAAAAGCAGATCAAGAAGCCCACCATGAACCCTGAGCCATGTTTTGCCTGTGTTTTGTTCTCATTTTGCAGTGTATTTCTATCTGTTGTTCATGGTCTCTCTTTTCATGTGTTTAGGTCCTGTTTTGTTCGGAGTATGTTCACTTACACTGTATTTTGAGTCCTCTTTAGACATAGTAGACTCTCAGTAGACTATCTGTTAATAAAGTGTTAGCAGTTAAGCAGACAGTCTACTAATACTCTAAAGCAGGAGACCTCAACGCTGGACCTCGAGGTCCATTTTCCTGCAAAGTTTAGCTCCAATCCTAATCAAACACACCTGAACAAGCTAATCAAGGTCTTCAGGATTACTACAGAGCAAAGCCACTGGAAGGCAAGGCTGCAACCTTTAGCCAAAAAAGCGTAACGGCTACAGTTAATGCTGCCGTGCATGGAAGGAGACCACAGGCCCTTTTTTTAATGGATGTCAATGGAGGAGAGGCTTCACTACGCTATCTGCTATCTGCTAAACTTCAACATGTTTTACACTAAACAGTACATTTGGATTGAGTCCACACCAAAAAAAATTTGTTTTATAGGAGAAATCACAGACTTTTTGCGACAGGTGGGATTCAGCCTCCGGCACTTCTCATTCATTCCTATGGGATACGTAAATGGCGTTTGAGTGTCGCACAACCCTTGACTGAAATTCAGTGACCTCAAGGCTATATGTGATTGGTTATCAAGGCAGTTTTATAGGAGAAATCACAGACTTTTTGCGACAGGTGGGATTCAGCCTCCGGCACTTCTCATTCATTCCTATGGGATACGTAAATGGCGTTTGAGTGTGTGGCGTCAGACAACCCTTGACTGAAATTCAGTGACCTCAAGGCTATATGTGATTGGTTATCAAGGCACACATGATCCAAGTTGACCGTTATGCTTTCTCCAGTAGGAAGTAATACAGACCCTCTCATCTCCCGATAGTAATACAATCTCTGCCACAATGTTGAGGGTTGGTGTGTTTAATCCAGTTTGGAGTAGTGATCGAACGATACTGATATTTTATAACCGATACCGATACCAATTATTTGCATGTTTGTGTGTCCGATAACCGATATGCAGAACCGATATTTATTTACTGTTATAAAGTAAATAAATGATTGAGTGAAGTAAGTCCATACTTCACTTTGGTTTTTCCTCCTTTCAGTCATCTTTTAAAAAGTGTTGAAAACTAGCAGTCTTTCATGTTAAATTTAATCTTCACATTACAACAATAAAAAAACATTTTATTTAAAGCATCAGCAGCAACACTAATATTAACAATAAGCAAAATAAATGTAGAAGGTCTAATGTTTTCAACTGGAGAAAATAAATAAAGGAAAGTGGGGGAAGTCGTGGCCTAATGGTTAGAGAGTCGGACTCATAACCCAAAGGTTGTGGGTTCGAGTCTCGTACCGGCAGGGATTGTAGGTGGGGGGAGTGAATGTACAGCGCTCTCTCCCACATTCAATACCACGACTGAGGTGCCCTTGAGCAAGGCACCGAACCCCCAACTGCATAAATGGCTGCCCACTGCTCCGGGTGTGTGTTCACGGTTTGTGTGTGTTCACTGCTGTGTGTGTGCACTTTGGATGGGTAAATGCAACAAGATGGCGGCGTTTATGGGTCACCATGTCACTTCACTAAAGATGCGCTGCAATGGTGATCCTGCACGCAATTCTCAAAACATCCACAAGATGGCGGCGTTTATCGGTGAATCCAATATTACAAAACCGATATCCGATTATTGTAAAATGCTTAAATAGCAGGAAAAATATCAGTAAATTGATATATCGGTCGATCTCTAGTTTGGTGCTAATCTCTGCAGCAAAGTGGATCTCTTGAGCAGCCCTGCTCTAATGACTGCTAGTTGACCAGTAGCTTCAAAAGGACCCAAAGGGGACCATCAAGAATCGTTGCCATAGTTACTAATTTTGTTCACCTGTGTCTCCTTCAGTTTCTTATTTGGTCCTTTTCAGTTATTCTTCATTATTGTTATTCTTCATATTTTTTATTATTGTTCAAGGGCATATGTATTGTTTTTGCAATAAATAATAAATAAATTCATTCGTTTTCAATACACATTGGTTCAAGTAAGGAAAAATATTTTATATCTTTTTACTTGCTTACACCACTTGACATTTTAGTGTAATTAAATCAAAATAATTTGCTGAAAGTGGTCATCTCAGACAACTTTATTTGACTTTGACTCTTGAACATCTTCTGTTGCGTTAGGAGATCAGTTTGCCAAGATGAAAGAATTTGGCATTGAATTACACAGTGAAAGAGCTAAAACATCTTTTGGTTATAAGCGAGTGGGATGGTACACTGATGCCATAGTTGTTTTCTAGTTGATGGATTATGTGGATTTACCGTATTCGCTCAATGAAAACTGCAGGAATCTGCATGTCTTTATAACCTCATGCCAGTCATTCCATGCCTTATTGTTCCAGAACAAAGACTGGAATGCCAAAGCAGCTCTGACGCACTGAAGCAGGCATTCAAAACAACTCGCTCGTTCTCTGAGTGAAACACATTTAGTAGAATATTTAAACGGGTGCGCTGCAAAGGTCTTGTTTTTCAGAAAATATCTCAACATTATTAAAACTAGATAAATGTACCTTTTCAGAGAACACATCTTGAATATTCACGTTTTGTGTTTGTCTTTTGACTAGACGTCTTTCACTTATAAGTAAAAACACTTTCACTTTTGTTTGAAAAACTATACTTTAAAAAAACAAACTTAACTTAGTTTAAAGCTATTTAGACTAGATATTCAGTCCTGTAAAACAAGATCTACTGTTTAAGCTGTAAGTGACTGACTCTGTAATAAGTCAATGTAAAGATGTGTTTTCACAATGCTGAATGAACTTGGATTTCTGACAGCAAACGGAGGTTATAATCCAAGGAGAACGCATTCAGTTCTTGCCAATACAATAGTCAATGACCTCAATCATGACTTTAGTAAAGTTCAAATGACATAATTACACCTTTTTTTTAACCATAACGGGAGCTAATTAAAAAGTAAATGCCTCTCTAAGGTGACAAAGAAATTAGATCGTTGAACTGTGATTATATGTTAATCATTTAAAACATTTAATATGTTTGACACATTGCAGTGTCACAACACTGTCCTGAACCTAAAGCAGTTCACAAGCCGTTCCTTGCTAGTCCTCACTGTTGACAGACAAGATTATGGGATAGATTATGGAAGATTACACTGATTTGTCACAACCTCCGGCCGACCCGACACTTTACTTTGGCAAAACTATGAAAATAAAAGAGCATAAACTGGGGTTTGTTAGACGTACCTATGTCAGACATGCAGAAGAGCTGCTGCGGGTGTCCTGGAGCACAGCTGCAGCCCTTGACCTCCTTCAGTACCACAGAGAAGAAGAACAGCAGCGCTAGAGTCACAGCAGCAGACATGCTCACGCAAGAGAAATGATCAGCTATATCAAAGATGCTTCTTGTGTTCCTCTGTCCGTCTGTAGTGATCTCCTTCTCTCTGCAGCCGCTGCGGCAGTCTTATAGCTTTCATGTCTGGCTGAGGAAAGGACCACCCTTCTAACTAAACAAACCCCACCCTCTACAAACACACACTTGTTGGTTTTATGGTTTACGGGGACTCTTCATAGGCGTAATGGTTTTTATACTGTACTGTATTTTCTATCACCCTACACCTAAACCTACCCCTCACAGGAAACTTTGTGCATTTTTAGATTTAAAAAAAAAAACAGCATGTAGTATGTTTTTTAAGCCTTTTGAATTACGGGGACATAGGCAGTGTCCTCATAAATCACCTTCACGTTGTAATACCTCGGCAATACCCATGTCATTATACAAATGTGTGTCCTCATAAACCACATAAACAAGCACACACACGGATCAGTGGATGCTCAGTTGATCCATTCAGATCTGGCTCTGTTCTCATGCTCTTTATGCCATCAGTTCTTCATGGAAATGAGTCTGTTTAAATGCTGTGCTCAGTGTCAGATTGGTTGTCGTGTTGCGTGCGATGTTAACGATCAGTCGCTTGTGGATAGGACATAAAACTCGTCTTGTTCGCACATGCTTGATTGCTAGACTGCATATGATGAGCTGGATTTAATAACTGTCAGCAACACACCTGTTTCTGAAGCATAATAAATGACTAACAGATGCTGAAACAATAAACGTTTTTATTCGCCTGCATCTGGGATTAAATGGGATTAAATCCAGTTCCTGGATCCTTGCTTAAAGTCAGTAACCAATGCAAACATGGATCATGCATATTAAAGAAAGTCAACAGTGAAAACAATGAATCTGTGTTTCAGATCTCAATGCCAACATTCCCTGTGGTGGTGAAGATCGGACACGCTCACTCTGGAATGGGGAAGGTATGAGAAAATGTTTGACTGATTGTGAAACCAGCTCTTCAAAAGGTGCATGTGCACGTGTTACTTTATTTGTTTAGTTGTTTACTATTATCGTTTTTGTGAATATTTCATTTCTGTATTTTCATTTTAGTTTTTAGTGATTTATAGTATTCTTTTGTCATTGTACTATGTGCTTTTGATTTAATTGGGTTACACTTTATTTTAGTGTTCTTAGTGTCACAGTGTAATTATACATTTAAGTACTGAGTAATATTAATTAGCTACATGTACTTAATATGTGGTTAGGGTTAGGATCAGGGTTTGGCTTAGTCCTATTTGCATGTAATTATGCATAATTGATTGTTATTATAATAGTAAGTACATGTAACATGTGTAACAAGGACACCTTAAAATAAAGTGCTGCCTTTTACTCTTTTTTTATTACTTATTAAGCTTAATTTATTTTTTATTAATAGTATTTTTAATCATGTTTTTAATAGTTTGTTTACACTTTATTTTGATGGTCTTCTTTAGACATTCTGTTAACTCTAAGTAACTTTGCAACTACATGTCAACTAACTCATGATTAATTTGTAAATGCATTAGAGTATTAGTAGACTGTTAGGTTAAGGTTATTAGAATTACTTGCAGAGGTACTCATAGTCAGTAGAATGTCTGTTGTGGAGCGTCAAAATAAAGTGTTAGCAGTCTACTAGTCTACGAATGACTCCTAGTTGACATGTAGTTGCACAGTTAACAATAATAACCCTGATGTGTACAGTTTTGAACAGAAATAAATCAAGTGTGTACATTCTGTGTACCAAATTCTGTTAGATTGTGAAATAATTTAATGAACTCCAAATTCATTAGGACAGTGTTAAGAACAAATGAATGCACCTGCGCATGTGTTGTAAACTAGGCATATGTTTTTGTGAGAAGTTCTCTGTGCATATACATGCTAATAATCCACACAACTATCAGTCAATGTCTTAACCAAGGCACTGTTTACCTGTTTTCCTTTAAAAGAGCCAATAGAGTAAGTGTTTAATACTTCTTTCAAAGCTGCTGATTTCACATAAATTACACACTTCACCCAACATATCCATTAATGAGTCTCAGCCCATTGATAACAGGACAACATATTAATGGAACATTGCCTTGGCAGGTGAAAGTTGACAATCACAGTGACTTCCAAGACATTGCGAGTGTTGTGGCCATCACTCAGACCTACACCACCACAGAGCCTTTCATTGATGCTAAATATGACATCAGGGTCCAGAAGATCGGTTCTGACTACAAAGCGTACATGTAAGTACAGCTGCACCGACACAGCTTACAGTTATAGACCTTCTATCTCAAGCTGGTAGACCCTCAAGTCATTCCTGATCCATGAAATGACAATTAATGGGAACTGAGGCTTTCAAGCTTCAAAAAGGATGCGGAAAATGATCACAAAAAAATCATAATATCTTATCATAATAGCAGTCTATGCATCTTCTGATGTCATACAATAGCAAATTATCATTTTCTGGTGACGCATTCCTTTGATAAAGATTGGTGAAATCGTTGCGCAGGCTGAATATGTGATACAGTATGTGCTGTGATTCACAGGAGAACGTCCATCTCTGGCAACTGGAAATCAAACACTGGCTCTGCCATGCTGGAGCAAGTAGCCATGACTGACAGGTGAGCACGACAGATAGACATGCTCTGGATGAACTTGCTGTATTGGTGCAGATCTTATTACTCCACCACTTGTCCGTATATTGTTGAAGCAACATTGTTTGAATGACGGATGTGCTACAAAAATATTGTGCTTTTGGGAAACAGTCATGAATAGCTAATTAATTTCTCCACCAATGCATTATACTATAGTAAGTTATGACAGGGTTGTACAGGAAACACATCCCAGATAGAATAGCTATCTATAGCTATAGAATAAACTATAGATTTGCTTCTGAATTTATTAGACACGTCAGTGTAGCATTGGAAAAGAAAACTGCACATATGCCGCCAAACGATACAAGCAAATGCACTGTGCAAATATTGTACATTAGTTGCTGATTAAATAAATAAATCAAAATGATCTGAGAGAATAACTCACAGACAGAGTACACATGCCGATTTAGCCAAGTGATCCAAATCTAATAATACATAAAGGCAATAATATCATCCTGGTTTGCCATATGACCAGCTGAACAACCTTGTTAGTGAAAAATTAATATTTTCTTCTTGCAAATAGTGAATTTCTATAAATATTGACCAGAGCAACGTAACCAAAAGATGAGTTCAAATCGCATGTGTAACATGAGCAGTACTGACAATTCTGTGAGAATAACACTGAGGTAGATCAGGATTTTGAAGCAGGCATTCAACGGGCAGTTCATTTTATAACTCAGCGTGAAGCGATCAGAAACCAGGAATTGGGAAAGTGAAAGCTCTTCTGTCCTGCAGGTATAAGCTGTGGGTGGACACCTGTGCGGATGTCTTTGGCGGTCTAGACATCTGTGCTGTTAAAGCCATACATGGAAAGGACGGAAAGGACTATATCACTGAGGTGAGAGCATAGTGACACAAGCACTGATTCAACCCACCTGACCTCTCATGTTATCGCATGTGAGCTGATAGGTGAAGATCAACACCAGACAATGTGTGATAAGTTTATAGTTATGAGAGGAGGCGTTGACCACAGTGACTATAGTGAGGATTGTGCCAGGACACAGACCAATGGGTGCGTGCCTTCTGAGGCTTTGCAGAAAACACATAAATCCTTGCCAATCCATTGTTAGGAATGCGAGTCAGAATTAGCAATAGTTCTTTGGAAGCTCATGCGAGAGAAGAACTCAAGTGTTTACGTTCTAAGGACACTCCTGTAGTTTTTCATTTCCTGCTAATATCCACACATGTGCAGGTCATTTGCTTTGCACTTGGCATCAAACAACAAACTTGGCCAAAAAATGTGGAAGAGTTTTCTGAAAATTCTGCCAAAAGCAGCCAGTAAACCCAGTCTCATAAGACAGGCGTCACTGGTGTGCTGTCAGCTCACAATGATTTGACCACAGTGTGTTTTGTTATAACTAAAAATAAATAGGTTTTGTTGTACTGGCATGACGTTTTAGAACTCCATCCCAGCCTTAAAGCAAAACCATTTTAAACAATATAACACATAACAGCCAGATAGGTTTATAGTCACGAGACTTTTAATTACATTACCCTATTAAAAAGCTATTTTTCAGCACCTGAATCCACCTTTTACTCCTAAACCTGTAAACCAAACCTCCTCTCAGCGATGACATAAAAGTACAGTCGCAATCTTGTAACAAAATGCACACAAAAAGTATTCTCGTAGCTTCGTAAAATTACGGTTGAACCCCTGATGCCACATGGATTATTTTACAGATCTCCTTGCTACGTTTCTGGACTTGGGAACATTTCAGTTGCATTTCTGTCTATGGAGGGTCAGAAAGCTCTCAGATTTCATCAAAAATATCTTAATTTGTGTTCTGAAGATGAACGAAGGTCTTACGGGTTTAGAACGACATGAGGGCGAGTAATTAATGACAGAGTTTTCATTTTTGGGTGAAGTAGCCCTTTAATGTTAGTAGTAGAAAACGTTCGAACTGCCATAAATCGGAACTGGCCAGTTGTTGCTCCAAATGCGTGATTGGCGATTGTCCCTTTGTTTTATTTTAGCCGATCTCTGTTCTGGACTTGCACACAAACCGTATTACAAGCATTTTCCAAAATGTCATGGAAATATTACAAAGTCTGTAAACGGGCCATTAACGAAGGCAAGAATGCTGAAGATGAACGCAAAGAAGCTCAATGTTCACGATGCTCAAAATGTTGGAAGAAAAAAACACGCAATACTTTTTATAGCAATTGCTTTTTTTTATTGCAATACCTTTTAAAGCAATACTTAAAATATTTGAAGGGTACATGCCAATATTTAATTTTTTTCTTTAATATTATTATTAGCATTAATAATTAACTGATTAAATTTTTTTTCATATGTGTCCCTGCAGCACAAAAGCAGTGTTAAGTCGCTGGGGGATATTTGTAGCAATAGCCAACAATACATTGTATGGGTCAAAATTATACATTTCTCTTTTATGCCAAAAATCATTAGGATATTAAATAAAGATCATGTTCCATGAAGATATTTTGTAAATGT